TCAGCAGGTCAGGCTAGTCCCACAAGCCACCCCTCAATTATTCCTGTGCATCAAAGGGTGGTTTTGATGTGGTTTTGATGGGAATTCTCTAGGGATGCAGATGACCACACTAACTGTGACAGGTAGCCAGTGATGACTATTTCTGCTTTCTGTGGCTGATTGCTGGATTATGAGCTAAAAGCAGTGTCACTGCAAAGAGTCCTGTCTCCCTCATCCCAGAAAATTAAGTAGTTTAAAAAGGCAAAGCCATTTGACTCTTTGTTTGAAGAAATGCAGCCAAGTTAAAAGAGTTAATAGAGGTGCTTCTGGACAGCTTCCAGCAGCTGAGCTATTAATAAAAACAATGGAAAAATGCCAAACCTCTTCTGTTTTCTTTAGCAATTAGTACACATTCCTTTAAGCTTTTAAGCTGCAAACTCCACAGCTGTCTGAGCAGAAGGACACTTCTATTAGAGGTCCCTTTTCAGAGCCGTCTCCAGTGTGTCACTCATCAACATTCTGGTTTTCTCTTGTTCCCTCTCTGAAGGATTTGATTTTTGTTTTCTTGCTCTTCCTGTCCTTTTCCCCTCACCTCTTAACCATATGCTACATGGATGACTTAAACCTACTTTGGCTGCGCTGATGCTTTTGAGGACTTCAAAGTGGGAAACTTAACATGCCTAAACTGAAGTCAGCCTTTGATGATAAACATGCTGGCTGAGCTAGTCTAGAGAAGCAGGATGCAGATAGTCAGTTGTTGTTAGGCGTTCTCACTTGACTGAATCTGTGAATGAAAGCACATGGTCACACTCAGAAATATTTTTTCTGGTTTTCTTTTTTTCTTTCTTTTTTTTATTTTTTTTTTCTGCTGAGATAGCCCAGAGCAGTATACTGCAAGGATGTGTTAGACATCGAGCAATTCTCCACAGTGAAAGGAGTTAACCTGGACCAAACAGATGATGATTTCTATTCCAAGTTTTCCACAGGATCAGTGTCTATTCCATGGCAAAATGAGGTAAGGATGTATCATAGTAAAATTACTTCAATAAACCCCCTAACATAGATGGTTTAAGAGGAGCTGTATATTTCCAGTAATATATAGCTACTGGATAACTTGCCAGACTCTAATGCTTTCATAAGTTACAAATGGCCTCTTTCAAGATCTATAATGTACCACAGATGTCAGGTTCAGTTGACTGTATCTGTTGGCTCTGCATATTTGTGTAGATTGGCGAGGATCCTACTGTACTTCCTTCTCCTGGATTCTTACTGAGGTGTTTTGACAACAGCTCTCAGGAACTTTTGTGGGGTGGCTGGAAGTTCTAATGGAAGGCTCCTCCATTGCTGAGCCTGATCTCACCCATTGTCTTGTACCTGCAGTGGATCCCAGCTGCAACAATTGACACTGAACCCTGAACTACTCCAGGGTTTCCAGATCTGGGTCTTTGATATCGAAACACAGCCAAGAGTGGATTTCGTAATCCAACTCTGGGTCAAACAGCAGATCTACTTAGGCAGAGAGGTGCTAATAACTGGGATTTTGTGAGTATGCCTGTCTGTACCCAGTGTTCTCCATAGTGCTAAAGAAAAGACCAGAAAGCTTTATGGGGCAACTTCTAAGAAGGCTGATGTGCAAACATGCAGAGCGGACTCAGGCTCTCTTTTTCATACATTTTATTTGCCTTTTATAGCTACTAGCAGGAATTCAACTGTTAACTCTCCTAACATGTTGCCCAAGCTGCCGGTCCTGATCCTGACTTTGAACAATCTAGCGCTACTGGAATATATTTATGGAGATGCATAATTTCTTTTTTTCTTTCTTATTGTATTCCACTAGATGATAGAAACAGAGTGTTTCAAAGAACTGAATGTATTTGGACCAAATGGTACTATCTCACCAGATCTAAACAAAAGCTACCCCCCAGAGCCACCCAAGAAAGGATTGCTACAGAGAATATTTAAACGACAGGTGAGATCATTTATGACTAAGACAAGGAAACTCCTGTAGATGCCCAGTGTCACAGCCATGTTCTGGTGGTATTTTTGTTAGGAGAAAGATAGTGCATCTTAGAGAGGGCTGGCTGTCACAGTTACCTGGTAATTTCCTGACTGATACATCATATCCCAGGTTTCCCATCTACCTCCTGTGATTTTTTTACCACCAGGAGTTCCAGTGTTGTTCATGAGCTTTGTTTCAATTAGTTGAAAACTTCTTACTCAACCAATTTTTCAGTGGTACGCTGAAATGCCTTTTGAAATGGTTATACGGTTTGAATAAGTTCCTTGTGAAAATCCTTGATTTATACGTTTAAAAAAAAAGAAAATGCAAATTTTGAGTGAGCTAATCATGGCAGGAAACCAAGACACTAGAGAAGAGAGCAGACCAGATAACACATGATGTACAGCTTTCATGAAGCACCACAGCGCCACTTGCAAATCTAAATAACATTATTATTATAATAACATTCTTATTTCTGTGGGGTTAAAACCATGCCTCAGCATTGGCAGGGATCCTCTGTATTAGTCAGATTTAGCAGATACTGACATTTTGCAGTGAATTGATTTGACTCTTGGAGCTCGAGTGAGCCTTCTTGGGTGCATTCCTCAAGAACTGCCATGGTTTCCTGACCTAGAGAGAACACAGGTAAGAAAGTGAAGAATATTTTACATCCAAAGATCTTCAGACAAAAATCTTGCGGTCCAGTCAGTACGTTATCACCGTAAAATGAACAATGTTGGGCTAAAGGAAAGTATGGCATATTTTTGGAATCTAATTGTCATTGTCTTCCTCTTTCTACAGCATCAGAACAATTCAAAGAGTTCTTCAAATTCAAAGGCCAGTTTAAATCACCACATAAATTCAAATCACGTAAGTTCAAACTCCACTGGAAGCAGCTAGTTCCAACTCAGTTTTATGAAACAACATGTTGCATCCTTCCACTATAATCTATGGAGCTTCTATGGATGAGAGAGCCTCCACCATTGAGTGAAAAAAAACCAGGATCTCCCCAAAATGGAGGTTTTCTATCCATTCCTTCCAGTGGAGCCTCGCATTTTAAGAAGAATTTTCCACTCAGGTCTGTTTTCGGAGGTGGCACTCAAGACTGTGTGAATCAAATTTGTCTATTTAGAACATTGCAATAGAAAAATCAATGAACATGACTACTTGCACGTATTTAAATAGCATCATACTAGAACTGAATTTTGTCTTTATTATTTTTAAAGAAAAGTTTTGTAAATTTCTCTATTGTCTCAGTTTACATTTTGTACATTTGTATTTAAATGAAAGTCAGACTTTGGAGGTGTATATTTTCCAAGCAGCAGCTGTAAAGCCATGTGTTTTAAGACATTTTTTTAAAAGAAAAAAAATGTGACTCAAGACTTCCAGAGCCTCAAACGAGAAATCATTCTTTTTAGTAATTCTAGAAAAATATTCATAAATCACTTTATCAGACTGGGTTTTATTGACATGCATTTTTATGGAGCAGTTTAATCTTAATTATTTTACATCTGTATATTTGGTTTACAGCAACACTGCATACATTTCTTCTCTTCATTAGTTTGTAATGTCTCGCATTAAATGCTAAAAGACAAGATTTTGATGCATTCAAGAATGCTACTTGCTATGCCTAAGGTTTATGCGATGTCATGGGACCAGCACAGCTGAGATTTGCACTTACTTACCCTGTTAGCTCATCAAAAACTTTTTAGTTAGAAAGGGAACCCTATTTTAAGCCTTTCTCCTTCACTCTTTTTTGTGCTGTTTCTGATGACAGCAAGAACAAAACTGAGTGAGAGGTGACCAGGAAAGCAAACGAGCATTTGTTTTTCAAGGAGTTGAAAGCTGCACCTGCTGAAATGAGAGCAAAACTCAAAGTGGTCTCTGCAGTCCAAAGTCCAAGGCCTTTCCACAGCTGCTCATATCAAACAGGTAGCAAGAGAGAAATTCAATAGTCTGGTTTGTGCTGACCAGGAGATTCATGACAGCTTTCTAGAGCTGAGCTGTGGAGGCTCAGAGTGAGCTCTGAGCTGCTTTTGAGCAGTAGCAGAACCTATAGGTTGAATCTGCACTCAGACTACTTCCATGTGTCATGCCAAACACACCGTGACTCGTCCCCTTAATTAGATCCTCAACTTAATTGAATAAAATGCCAGTCATGAAATAATACCTCCTACTTCTGGTTCCATCATTCTTTGTCCAGGATCCTTTAACTATTGAGGAAAAGATTGTTCCCACTAGTACAGAAAGGATCGGTCAGGATCAGTAGCAGTACCTCAGGCATCAGAATCATGCTCTTCTCAAGTATGCCACTGTCTGTCATTATTAAGAACACCAGATCAAAAATACAGTTACTTCCCTTCAACAGGAATTGGAAAACCTTTGTCCCCCCAAGTGCAGACAATATCTCTATAGCCCAATGTGTTCTGTAAAACATGTTGGTTTACCATGCTCTTTACAATGTTGGCTAGAGTATACTGATGGTTTTACACCTTTGGGTCATCAGGAGCATCTGAAGGTCAGCCTGGTGTGCCTAAAGCCCTGTTAGCTAGTAGTGCAGTTAGCCCAGGGTACAAGGAAGCACTGTTCTGCTGGAAGTCTTAATAATCAAAATTGATTAGACTGTCATGGATATGTTTTATCTGAGCAAGGCAGAGGGTAAAAAAGATGCAGGTTAGTAGTGGCAAATCTCTGAGTGAGAAAAGACACAGGAGTTACGTACTAAAACAGCTTGAGGTCATGAGGGAGAGAGACAGAACAGGGACAGGATTTGCATAAAGCAGCCGACAGAGAAAAGTCAAGAAAATGAGATGAGGCTTCGGCGCTTTTATCAGGAGTAAAATACATTGACATGCGAGCCCACATCAATTCAAAACCCTCCAGTTTTCCTGGTCAATAGTGGACATGTAGTGTAGCTATGTTAAGTGTGACATAGTATCACCACGAAGTTGTTCCTCTTCTTCCTTCAGATCGGTGTGGTCCAGAAATTCCTTTTCCCTGTACAGGGAGAGCTTCAGCCACTCTCCCATGTCAGATGATGGCACTGCAGATGTTATGGAAGATGCAAGAATTTAGAGAGGTAGTAATAGATGAGAATTTCGAGTAATTTTTCTCTCTCTGTATCAGCTATAAACTAAATCTGTAATGGTATCAGCTTCCTGACAGGAGGGGAATGAGATACTGTAGAGGTGAAAGCCACTGTGTGCAGATAGGGCTGTTGCCCCCAGTTCTGTTCTCATGGCCTGACATGAAGCTGCCTAAGCCAACAGGAATCTGATCAGTCACTTGAGCACACTCTGGATGAAGAGATACTTGCTCTGGGAGGTTTTCACAGGCCTTCTTCAATGACGTGAGATTTCACCTGATTTCAAGAAATGTAGGTGAGAAGTGGCAGAATAGATCTTAGCCAGACCACTGGTGTATATCAGTGGACCTGAGACAAGGCAAGACACACATCTTAGTTCTTAGAGAGCCGCAAATGTTGTGCAACTCCAATCTGTTTCTGTCACTCTAAGACACCACCTTCTAACAGTACGGTGTACAATATGTTGTGTACCCTCAGGTGATCGCATCCTCTACGCTGATGCTAGGGGAAGAGAGTGCTGGGTGGGGGGACAGAGTAAAAGACTAAGCTCTTTTTTCCACTGCTGCCATTGCATCGCTTTGCAGCAACAGACAAGCATATTCCCCCCATCAGAAAAAAAAACATGGCTGATAATATCTACCTACCACCATGAGGAAGGAAAAAAAGACGGCTGGGGGAAGGCTTAACCCATTAATATTTCATTGGATAAATCTGATAAAAGTGCAGCTGTTGGCCCAAGGGCTTCGTCTCCTACATGTGACCAATTTGGCATATGAAGGCTGAATTTTATTCCTTTACCATCTCCCACTTGGGAAATAAAATCCTAATAAACAACAAACTCCTTACTGAAAGCTGGTGAACAAATTGCAAATACAGATGGTAGATGGCTTTATACCTCTTAGATGCTATCAGCCTTAACCCGTGGTGGATGACTTCTTTATGACAACAGGGAATGGTAGTGTATGTGCCTTCTCCTGCTCTCCTTTCAGCTGGGACAGCCCCTTACTCAGCACCTCTAGGACTTTAGCAGTGGAGACACCGGGACGGTGCAATGTCCTCAAATGACGAGAGCTGTGGTCTTTGTGTCCTGTTACTTGGAGGACATTATGCCAGGATTAGAGATCCTGAATCCTCAAGATGGTACGGAAGAAGGATGCTCATGCACACCTGAAGTGTCAAGCGTGGGACGAAGTCCTTCTGGATTCCAGCCCCTTGGGAGCAGTGAGTGAGTAAGGGGAGACAGAAAACAAGGCCAGTTGAGGGAGATTTCATGCGACATCCCCAAAGTGTTGCTATCCTGTCTGACAGACTTTAGACAGTATTACAATTCTGGGGCAGCAGAACTGTTGTACTCTTTCAGGATCCAGGCCCTGAAAGGTTCAATCAATATCACACATCACTAGTGATAATGAATCTTCTAGTCAGGGTTTGTCTACAACAACACAACCTGCAGGATTTTCTTTTTTTTATTACTTTCTTTTTTATTGTTATTATTCAGTTCACCTTGCACTCAAGACTGGAGTAGGACCACGGTCCTCTCACTTCCACTGTGTGACCGGGGAACGCGGTGCTGAAGCCCTGCCACGGCAGTGCCCTGCACGGCCAGGCCTCCACCGACACCTGGCATTTGGCTCTGTGGACCCAAATTCAAAAAACACTGGGAGCCGTGGGTGTTCAGGAACTCTGGGAAAAGGAAAAAAAAGACTTAGAATTTCCTCATACGACCTTGGAGAACATTTGCAATGGGATTTTTAGTATTTTGATTCCAAGTGAATAGTTTTTGAGGTGGGTTTGCACGTAACAAAGGAGCAGAAAGAAGTAGTTCTTTAATAGCTTCCCAAACTGATTAATTTTCTGTATCTCCTTTCCAATTACAATACAAATTCTTTCCAAAAAACGCATACATTCAGATCTGTTTGCTTTTTTTAAATAGACAGATGAGCAAACTTAGCTATTTTAAGACTCATAAATCTTTTGCAATCTGATCCTGAGTTGTGCAAGCATATTTTTTTATTTTTAAATCTTATACTGAGTAGTCTGATGAACACTAATTAGTTTACAGGCTTTTATGATTCAGATGTTTGCTATTCATTTTCTACAGTGTCTCAAGGTTCACTTAAGTCTTGTAGCATTCTTTCCCACTCTCTGGTTGGATGAGAGGCTTTTTAAAACCAAGGGGTAATGAAGGAAAAAATAACAAATAATAAACTCTTACATGTGCACTCTTGACCTGGATTATATAAAAAGAACTTTTTTACAAGGATGACCATGACTCGGATGTTGTTTCTGAACAAAACCCTGCTTGTGAAGCTCAGAAAGGTGTGAAGGTAGTCAAACCAAACAGGTACCGGAGATCAAACTGAGCGTTAGGGAACTGCAGAGTTCAATATCGCAACGCTCATCTGGCCCTGCTGATGAGGGATGCCTGGTAACTGGCAGTTCAGAGACAATACCAGCTCTCCGTTAAAAACAGTTTGATACCGTCTCAGTTTACAGTCATCCTCTCCCCAGAAACTATGGTTAAGAGTGCGGTCAGCAGTAGGGAACCAAACTGGGCTGACCCAGTAAAGCATCTGATTTGAAGACACTGATTCTGAATGTCGTTCAACCAGACCTCAGGATCCAGCTTATATTCTTTGCTTCAGCTGTCAAAGTCTCGCGTTTCGAACCCAGTTGCCGGTGATCTTTTTCAGTAGGGATGCCTCAGCTAAAAAGAAAACCAGGAAACCAAGCTGTAATACTGATAAAACCATGGACAGGACAAGGAAGACAGAGAAGCTGTGAGCTCTGGAGGACAGTGTGAAAACTGCCATAATGTGTGTATCTTCAGCAAGTGTCCAGTGGCAGTTGTTATCACACATCGCTGCATGTTCTTCCTTGGTTCATCATATATTGCTCACACTTTTTTGAGTAACCTGGAAATTGCACACACAAGGTCACTTTCAGCGTAGGGTCTGGCCCGTGGCGCAAAGGCAATGTCATCTCTACGAGGGTCAGACGGAGCAGTTTGATGAGGCAAGGAGGTATCCACTCAGCCCACAACAGCCATCACACAACTCTCTGCTCCCATGTGTCTGAGCCTCGCCCAGGAGTTCCCTATGTAGGCTTTTCTGGAAGAGCAATAAATCCCCAACCTTACAGCACAGCTGCTGCTTCTTATGGACATCCATGGACCGGGTGGCTGCAGGACCTGACTTCGTTGTGGACAAGATATGCGTGTTTTAACCTCTGCTCCACAGTTAGCTGTGATTTATTGTTTTTTTTCAATTCATATTTGTAATACTCACTTGTTAAGCCTCTCAGTGCAGAGGAGATCAT